TGCCTTATATGCTGTGCGCCGCGATGCGCTACCCTCTCACCAATAACTTCAGTTCATGTGATCAAACACGAGATATGGTGAGCTAGATGCAACTAGTTCTTGATCAGAACAACGAGTGCGCTGCGGCTCTCACTCCTCTTCCTGCTTCCTCCGAGTTTTTTCTTTTGCATGTCGTTGCAAGCAGTGTTATGAAGAAGTTCAGGGACTATCTTAATGCCAAATTCACGATACTGAACATTTACGACTGAGAGATCTTAAGAAAAAATTCGCTGAAGCTGCATCTATGAGGGTCATCCCAGTCAAAGTGTGGTATTCATCTCTGATGCTGCTGTCAGTCACCATTTTTACGCCAATCCATTACTCTGGTTGAGTAAAAACTGTATATCATGTAGGAGGTTACCCAATGCAATGATTTCGAAAATAACATTGGTGCCGAGTTGGTGTCGAATGGCGCCAAACTTTCGCCAAATGGCTCGGGCGCCAAGAACGACGTCTTCATTTTTAAGGCTCTGAGCTGCATACACATATATGAGTTCTGAAGGATTCAATGAAAAAAGTTATTCCCGTCAAACTGGTCCTTATTGGTGGAATGACTGGTGTATTCGTGATCGGTAGTGAAGTTTCGGCAAACATAATTTGGTGCTCTATTTTGTTCATGAAGGGGCTACAAAATACAACAGTGGTTTTCCTTTCAAATGAAGAGCTGCTACTTCTTCCGTCACTTGCATCTATAGCTTGTAATGTTTGAGGTCGAAGATCGTTACCACGGACTGCTAAAGTCCTCAGTGAAGTCGATGGATACACGGAGCAGCTTTTCTCCCCTCCTAAGCGTCATGCGAATAGAAGCGAAAATTTAACAGAAACCCCTGCTACAAAGATTTCAAAGAAAATGGCCGCAAAAGTAAGTTTACGCTGGTTAAGTTTCATCACTCTTAATGTCCAGGGAACTCCTTTATATCTGTGATGTTTTCGTTATTCGAACAAATGAGCTTCTTCAGTTGGTGATTGAATCCCCTGAAAGTGTGGACGAGAATCGCGGGCCGAACCTGAGAGCACCTCGTGCAGCAGCTCGTCGCTTAAACTTGAACGAAAAGGCATCAAAACCATCACGCCGTGAGGTTCGTTCTTCTTACCTTCACTGTATCTCGCTTCTCGGGGTCTCCGATTCGGATGAGGCCTTACCTTGTAACCAAGAACCAGTCGTTCTAGTTGTTTTTGAGATGGATTCTACTAAATCTCCGCTTGCGAGTATCTGGCGGCGATATTAGTATTTCGATTATTTTTGCACTTCACTTTTTGGATTCTACGCTGCTGTACTCATATGTTTTTAGCCAGCAGTCGACTCTATGGAAACTGAGAATGACGAGAACGTCCCGCCTGCTGGAGATACTGTTGGTCGGCGCCTACCTAAAAGGAGTGTTAAGGGGGTGAGTCTTAAATATTTCATTTGATTTTGTACTTTTTCGAACACGTAGGTTGAAGAATTTGTGAGTTACATGTGTGATAATTGTAGGTCCAAAACGTTTCTGCGCAACCGTGCACTAGAACTCCGTTAAGGATGAAGATAAAGAGGTTCGACGATGTTGCAAAGATATGCGAATCTACTGTCAGGTAGGTCTCCAACTTTTGCGGCAACTTATTTTTGGCTCAGTGCTCAACAGAATGCTTACAGATACCGATCTCCAGCTATTACTGCGCCGAAATGCAAGCAAGTTCCATCGGACGCATGTCTGATGCCCGTAAGTTTATTGTTTGCAAATTTAATTTTTTAATTCTTCGGCAATTCATTATACTTCTAGGTTCTATCCAATGCCCAACGTAAATATGTTGAGTGTGATTCATTGCCGGTACCAATCTTTCATTAATTAAAACGGCTTGTTTTAGCCCATCCATCCCGGATCATCTTTCACTTCTGACTTCTGCATCCTGTTACTTTATATGCAGTCCAGCTTTGAATTTTGGCCTTTCATTTGATTTCTTGAAAAGCTATCCTTCATAGTGGGATAGGGTTCATATGTAGACGTTAATGGTGATGGAGATCAGGGTTCTTCAAAGCTGGATTTGTGCATGAAGATTACCGCCATGGTTCCCTGCTGTGTCATTGCAATTAGGGCACCGAGTTCAAAAACATGTACTTGGATTTTTTTGGAAGAGTGCTTATTTTGTTTGTTAACAGCCGAAATTTCGACTTATTTACAGCTGAAAACACGCTTGCGAGCTGTTCTTCTTGACGAGAAGGGTGGTGTCGCATATCGTACAGTCGGCCCTGTAAGTGCATATGTTCTTTTCTTGAAGGTAACGAGAGATCACTTCCTTGTTTAGGAAAGCCCATGGGGTATCAAACGTCCCCCTGCTCGAGTCGTACCGGTTTTTAGCAAACTAAACAAAACACCTCGGAAAACTAATCGAGATCGCTCATTCGATGCAGGAGAACTTGAAGAATCCTCTTCGGGAGAAGATTACTCAAGCGACGAAAGTGAGGAGTGCGACGTGCAAACTGATGACGATGATGACCTATTAGAGCGGCAGAAACAGCAAAAGTTTGTTCTTGTTGAACTTTT